TGTGGCGTCAGTCTTACCTCAGCACGTGATAGGGATGCACATGCAAATTTTGTGCGATTTATTTGAATTATTTTGATTCCATAAATCAAATACCACTGAGCACTGTGTTTTATTTCTAATTTAATTTCTCACGTGTTTATAATCTTAAGATTTGGTTGTTCCAGCTTTAATGTTTACGCAAAACTTATATGAAAAAAAATCTACTGTCATTTTCTCACTAAATATTAAGTTTGGCCCACCGTGAATTTGAGTTTGACACGTCTGGAATAAGCAAACATCCAGGGTCCAGGAATGGATTCATCCATTTTACATTGATTCCTATGGGGAAAAACTGTTTTGGTTTTTCGAATTTTCCGGTTCGCGAACGGCCTTTAGGAACAAACTGAGTTCAGAAACTGAGGTAACAAAAGAGAAGTTTGCCCTTACTATTACAGGTAAAGGTCACAGAGCAGAGTGTGAAACAGTTTCACGATGAGAAGGTTAATAATCTGCCATCTCCAATCCCTGGACTCGTCTCTGTACAGTCCATTAACAGGACTTATGATCCCGAAATCACTTTTAATAGAGTGAATAAAAAAAGCCAAGATTTATCTCATGCAGGTTTGCAGTCTGTGGACTGTCCCACTGCCACCACGTACACTAGATACTTTAGGTCTTTTATTTCTGGCCTGTGTCTAATGGATCAAAGAGCTGGGCCCCTGGAGATCAGAGGTTCAATTCTTTTATCTTTCATCAGACTCTTCCTCCTCCTGCCTGTAACGCTGGAACAGATATGAGTCTGAGGAGGGAACGTGTCCATGAATCACTGAATTCCACAGGAAGGATACCTTCACACTATCATTGTTTTAGTCCAAAACTCAATACCTGTGAAGTCAATCTTCCGATGTGCGTTTGATGCAACGTCACATCCTTTTTGTCACATCGCGTCCAGGCAGCACGTTGATTTCATCCGTCACAGACAAAGTGATACTTCACAGATCACCCATTTGGAACGTAACGTTTCCACAGAAAAAAGTATGGCATTTCCCATCTTCTAATTTAACAGCGCAGAGATAAATACAGTCCCCGCTGATGTATTGAGCGGAGCATGTGGGCAGGTTTTGTCCTGTCATTGATTCCTGACGGCTGTGGCTCAGTGTGATATTGAGTTACCAGATTAAAGAGTGAGGTCACTCCCTGGTTACCAGGTCGCTTGTTAGCTAATGTTGTGAAGACGATGGAACTGTCATTCGTTTCTCTGCGTGTGTGTGTGTGTGTTGGAGAATCACTCACCTGCTGTTGAACTTCTCCGGGTGCTTTTCCCTCATCAGATGGAAGCGATGGGCAATGGAAGCGTCCTGAAGAAGAAAAGATGGATATCGGTAATCGGGCTCCGTTACTAAAATATTACACGTTAAATGTGTTCTTACAGCCTCTAAAAATTTAAAACCTCCAGGACTGACTTGCAGTACCGCTCTTGACCAGGTTGTTGGTGAAAATTGATTGACCTACTTAGTTGAATATGTGTGAAATACTTTTTTTTTTTCAAATTCCGATGTCCATCTTTTTGGTCAGTCTGACGCATTTACAAAAAAAACGTCACCATGAAAAAAAATATTTTCGCTTCTGACAGAAACTATAACAAACACTATTCCCGTGCTAAAACTCTAACATCACTGATTTTCATAAAGGCTAAAATGCTTTTATCATTTTCTACGCCATCTATTGGGGAACGTGTGTACTGCAGGGGAAAGGCAGAAGTATAATGATAATATAAATAAATGATATCATTTGGAAAAGATTGGTGGGCCGGATTAAAAAGATGAACGGGCCACATCCGGCCCCCGGGCCTTAGTTTGACCCTGCCATACATAGTGCGCTACATAAGGGTCAAGCCGTGTCGTAGTGGTGTCTGAATGTTTGCTGAGTAGAACTAGTCTACTATAAAGCACACTTAATGTATCCCACAATTCAACGAAATCTGATTATAACCAATGGTCATGACGACATGGCGGAGAGAGGAGCATTTTTTTGTTTGTTTTTATCACATAATGAAACAGTTTCAGTTTTGGTCTTCATTTGCTGAAGGGTCTGCTTTACCTCCTCTGGATCGCAAATCACAAATATTTGTCCCGGAGGGCAGTGACCTTTTGTTAAAGCTTAGGAGGAATTACCAGAACATTCCGAACAAAAGGCACTGCAAGGCCTTTGGACTGAAATCAAAGTGCCTAGCGCTGATTCACATTTTCCTGTCTATGTTTTCGCAAATTGCATTACGACTTTTTTTAAAAAAAAATCTACTTTTTCTTCTACTTGTAAATTTTGGCCATAATCAAATTGCTACGAAAATCACTCAGTAGTTCCCTCCTCTTTCAATTCTCCTAATGCATTTAACCTTTGACCTCAGGGGTCAGAGGTGAATGGAATACCCAAGCAGTCAAGAAAATAGACTCAATGTAACACCAACCAGATTCAGCGCTCGCTCCTGCCTGCCTTGGCAACAATCTTAAATCTGATTCGCTCTTGCCCTTTTTTTTTATTGTTACTCCTTTTTTGAAGGTTGCACAGTCTTTATTTTCATTTAAAAAATTTAAAACAAACGTTTTCATGAAATTGTGTTAGCGGCTTTGGGAAAAGGCTCCAAACATTTGGGTCAGGGTTGAGTTCTGTGTCAAGGATGTAAGAAGACGGACACTTGTCCACTGTTTTCTAGCGGATTTTCCTGCTCTCCTAAAAAAAAAAAAAAAATCAATGTCTAAAAACTAACATTTGGACATTTGGAAACATTTTTCTGGAAAAATAAATGTTGTTGAAACTGAAAGTTGGAAAACAGTTTCCTTTCCGATCACAGCTACTGTACGAAGGCTGGAACCGTTTCTTAAAAACAAATCTTAATCTTATCTGGATAAAAGGAAAGACGTCAATGTAATCTTATCTGGATAAAAGGAAAGACGTCTTTATGGAACGTTGAGAGAAGTTCAGCGACCACAGCTGTTTTGCTACGTATACCATAACCTGGAGAAACCAACGTTAGCCCGGGTTTCTTTAGATTTTTCCAGACTGTCTGCGCTTCAGTTCAGGTCGAAACAAATTGTTCTGAGGGATTGAGTGCATCAGGACCACTCATGTCCAGCCAAATGTCAGAGCCCTGTTCGGAACCAATTGTCCTTGAGTGGATGTAATCGTTTGAACAGAGCATCTTTAATAACGTGACCTGAGGTTGAGTTTGACCAGAACTGCTTCTGCCTCTGCTCAGGCCCGAGGACATGATCTGTTTCTTACAGATAAACAGAGACTGGACACAGAAAATAAACAAGAGGACAGATGGAGAGTGTCACTTCACCGATGCTGGAGTCAGTAACTCTGTTAGGACATGGAAAAAAAACCGACAGATTCAAAGGCTGGGTCTCTTCTCTCTGTCACCGTATGATAATATCAATTGATTTTTTTTACCTCAAGTGTTTCACGCAGACGGGTCACATGATGCAGCGGGACATCATTTGACCTGTCTAATCAATCAGAAATCTAGGAAAACAGAATTATAAATCTTGAAAAAGCAATTTAAAAAAAACATGTTTCAAAAAATATGTAATAAACAGGAATGTTCTGAAGGAAGGATAAAAATGCTTAGCGCTAAAATATTTTCCCGACTATAAGTTGCACTTTTTTTCTTTGGCTGGGTTTGCGACTTGTACTTAGGTGCGACTATTATATTTTAAAATTTCATAATTTCATAAGACCAGGTAACGGATAAGCGGATGAAAATGGATGGATGGATGGATCCACTAGAGGGCACTCTAGGCTTGTGTACTAGTATCTGCTACTCCTGTACCACTGAAAATCTGCATGTTTGTTATTTTCACACTGACAGCCGCTAGAGGGCACTCTAGAGCAACATATAGTCCGGAAAATACAGTAATTTAAATTCTGTCTAATATTTCATTTCAAAATGAAAAATCTCTTTTAACTGTTATTGTCTTCATATTAAAAAACATGTCTAACGGATTTGTCCATCCATCCATCCATTTTCAGTCTTTTAACTGTCATTGTCTTCATATTAAAAAACGGAACGTCTAATGGATTTGTCCATCCAATCCATCCATTTTCATCCGCTTATCCATTACCGGGTCGCAGGGGCAGCAGTCGCCACGACCGCCCCCCAAATCACACTGCACCGTATCAACCCCCCCTGAACCTTCCTGCGGGTGGTGAGTCCACTGGAAGGTACCAACCGCCCTAACTGGGATTCGATCTTGCCCAGGAGGTGAATCCTGGGGTTCCACACCAATGACAGAGACATTGCCTCTGGGCCAAAGCGCTACTATTGGATTTGTAATCTGGATTAAAATAAAAATGTAAGAATGAAGATGAATAACATTAAACTTTATCCACAGGTCACACAGCGAGACAAACAGTGAGCAGATTTCTTACACCAATGGCTCAAGTCAGTTAAAAAGTGTCACTTCAACTGAGTAACTCCATCCATGTTTCAACGACCAAATCATCACACCGTTGGTTGAACAAGGTGAGGCGCAGGCTGCTCATCTATTCCCCGTGTCATTAAAGCGGGAATAGAGTGGAGGCTACAGTAAGGCACATCTTCAGGTGTTTAATTAAGTTGCTTGTATCATAACAGGAGGAATCTCACAGTAAGCCCTGGCCCTGTCTTCGTCCCCTGATGTTAAAATACAGCCAAACTGCTGACACTGTTGACCTACTTAAATGAACGACCCACGAGGGAAATGAGCCGCTGGACTGAAGGAGGAAAACAAACAACAAGGACTTATCTGTGGACGCGGTGTGCGAAGCTGTTTTCTCAATAATAATTCTTCAATTGATAAAGTAACTTCAATTTCAGACATTTGGACCTGGAGTCACCGCTAATAAACGGTGACCTGGTCCTTTAAAAGCGCAGAGGAAGAAATATGGAACGTGGAACGAGTAAAAATAAACATCAATAAATATAAAGTACACAGTGTGGTGTCTTCAAACTTAATATCACGTCCTAGCATTACAAACCTGGCTCCACTGTAGGTGTTAAACTGTCGTTAGGAGTCAACAGGCAAATGCTTGCTGTTTTACAGGCGACACGTGTCTTCTGCTGCTGCACCGACACTTTCTGCCAGCGAACATAACCCCGTGGCTAATTTTAATTCACGGTAAATTTATCTGTCACCCTCCTCCTTCTGATGCCTGCTAAATAAAAGAGCTTTAATTACAGCAAAGCATCGCATCTTTAAAACTCCTGACAGGCAGAGACATTCGTGATGACACTCTGGCACCAGACCCTGGCCGTGCAGGTGTTTCAGTGCACGGCACCAAGGAGAGTGGAAGGTTGAGAAGAGACAGGTGGACAGGTGCAATTATACGCATCCTCGTCTGTCAATAGTTTTTTTTTTAATAAAAAATAAAAAATTCAGCAGTGGAACTTGTCTACTGCAACTGCTGCTGCTCCTCCTCCTCCTCCTCCTCCTCCTTCAGCACCAGATCTCACCGCATCAGCAATCTTTGGATCTTAAAATAGAGCTGCATCTGCTGCCTAAACAGGAGGAGAATCTGAAACGGGCACCTGGGGAGCGAGGAGGAGGCTTCAGGAGACATATGAAGCTGACTTTGACCAAACCATAAAACTGATTCTCACAGCAGGGATATCCACCGCCACATGAAGAAACACATGGAAATGTGGGACAGATCGCCATTAGATTTGTAGGCAGTGATCACCCGCGGTCAGAGAATTAGTAACAAATCACATCTCTGAGCTTTACTTTTGCCGGAGAACGTGTGGGGAAAAAGTCGACGATCACTTTAATTTGGTTTGGAGACTGCGCAGTGATTAAACATTTCTCGGAATGTGTTAAAGAGAAAACTGGAAACACACCGCAAACAGATACTCCCCTAGATCCTACAGTACGTTTTTGTTACCAGTGATTTGATGCTGATCACAGATATATTTTACAAAATCTTCGGAGAAATTGCTAGGAAGATGATAACGACTAACTGGAAGGATACAGAACCACCAACCATAACCCAGTAGACTGTATTGCATATACCTGGAGATTTTTAATTTTTGTATATTTATTTGTGCATATGTATGTGGATGTATACTATATACAGTATATTGTATTTTTTTTTTCTCATCCGATATAGATTGATCAACCGACCGATCGATCAGTTAATCAATAGATGGATGGATGGATGGATGGATGGATGGGTAGATAGATACTTTATTGATCCCAGAAAAATTAGGGAAAAAAATCATCTTCATAATTGTCTACTGCTTGTGATGGTCCTATGTCAAGGAATGTTAATTGTACTATGTGTCATTTGCGTTAAACTAAATAATTAGTAATAAAAAAAA